ACACATTGCAACAAGTAGTAAAAACTGATAAATAAATTTAAATGGTCTAAGTTTATACCCTTTTGCCAAGAAGTTCTGCTTGTAGAAATGTGTCATATAAAATAACAAACTCAAACATACCAACATGTATGTGTGAGGAGATTGATTGCAGCAGCATTTGTAACTGAAAAACATTGAAAGCAAATTAAATGCACATCAATGGTGGGTCGGTTAAATAAATGATAGTACAATGGAATCCAGGCAGCCCTAAGAAAGAGTGAGGTGGATACAAATAAATTGGCATGTCCATGAAAATATAAAATCAAAATAAATCAACTTGAATAAAAATGCATGTGTATGTGTCCCTTAAAAGAAGCCCCAGTGGCATCATGGACTAAGCACTGGGCTGATAAGCACAAGATGGGCAGTTCAAACCCATCAGTCTATCTATGGGAGAAATATGTGACTTGTCTGCTGACATAAAGATTCATGGTCTCAGAAACCCTACAGGGTCACTATAAGTTGAAATTCACTTGAGGGCAGTGGACTTGATTTTATGTACACCTTAGTTTTGTTTTCTCAGATTCCAGACATGCACATTTGTAATTATAAACCCATAGGGAAAAAAGTTGACAAATAGGTATGCTTTACTTTATATATTTATATCTGTATTGTTTGCGTCTATTTTATTCACAACCGAAGTGCATTTGTAATTTTAAAAAGTAAAAGATGCTTTAAAAAAAACAAACTATGTCATTTACTGTTCTTATCATTATTTATCATTGTTTAAATATTAGTGAAACATCTCTAATATAATGAATACTTATTGAATAAACCCAGGTAGGGTTCATTTTTCATCAACTGTTCCCCAGAATTCGCTCTCATATACCCACTCCAAACTCATCCAGCAGACTAGGTTTCAAAATAAAGGTTCTTAAGTGAAAGTGGAGGATAACCACATCAGATCACAAGACGGAGGGTGACCATTTCATTATAGAACTGCCTCACAACATCATCACACTGAGTCACACAAATGAGAATCATGGCCCAGCCCAAGTTGACACATAACCTTAACCATCATAGCCAGAATTACCTAACACCTCAGCATGTGTTACTGCTAGCTGTACATTTTAATACACAAATGAGCCAGATATTAGACATTTTGACTATTGTCATAAATATGAAATATCAGATAATGAGATAGTCAATAAGTGACCAGAAGGGGGTGTGTGTGCAAATAGATATATTGAGATTTCTAATCTGACAATGTGTTCGTTAAGCATGTACTTTTTTAAGGTCCTTACGCCTATGGACTATACGTACTGATTCATTAGGCAAAAGCTGAAACTAGACATATTGTAATCACCCATATTTATTCATATAATTGCTCCTTTTGTTCTAGATGTCATAGAGCCAAGACAGAATTAGGAGAATGTCTTTGGTGTTACAGCTCCTTCAGTGGGTGAGCCTGGCAGGGTTAGCAGCTGGTAACTTAATTTCTCCAGATAGGTTATGAGCGCCAGCAATTGCCTTCAAAAGAAGCTTGCAAGACAGTGGTTCATAACCTTTGAGGGCCACAGATGGCTTTAAATAGTGCTGCCTGGTATGAAGGTGAGGAGAACATGGGCTTATCAACCCCCCCCCCCCCACAAAAAAATTGATCATATCAAAGTTTCAATATTTATTTGAGTGACCTGTGTTCCCTCAATAAATTGGTCTCACATGGTATTAGGAAAAGGCCGCAATTGTCAAAGGCTGAAGAATGTGCTAGAAAAAAGTCTTAATCCTCTGTGGGGCAGGGGGCACCAACTCGTTGAAGGCTATTCTGGAGTCTAAGCTAGGAACCCCTGTTATAAGTTCAGAGAGAACATTTCCTATCCTTTTGGTGTGATTGTCCATTTTAGGCTATGCTATCTTTGTTTGTTGTTTGGATTAATTGCACATTATTCCCACAAGGGCCCAATCAGATCAAGAGGCTGGATTGCACATTAAAAAATGTACAAAAGAGTAAAATAAATGAGGGTAGTCTAGTGCATATCAGATTTTGCTGTATACCAGCTAAGTACCTAGGAAGGGCCATGGCCATTAGCTGTCCAAATCATGTTCTGAAAGATTACTGCTAAGCATATGAATTCAATAGGACCATACTTCTGGTTCAAAGACCAAAGTTAATGTTACTTTAAACCACTTACCTACTAGTCCCTAGTTCACTTATGTAACCAGAACTGACTAGGACTACTCTCTTTTATTTTTATGGCTTCAGAAAAGAGAAAACCCAAATGCCTTCAGGTAGTTTCACAAAGGAATAACTGTCCTGTTCCTTTACATTGGTCTAATCTCAAAGAAACACAGAAATCCCCTGGAAAGTGCCTCTATCATGAAATCAGAAAGCATCCAGGCTGCTGACAAAAACCTATTCCCATAGGCTGGTGCAGCCCTGTAAGGCCCAAATCTAGTCCCTGTGTCTTTCCTACCCTCTCTAAACCCTAAGAATAGTAAATAGTCCCTGTCTGTGAATAGGTGAACATTTCAAGAAATTAGAAGAAAAAAAGAGAAACTATTATGATGCTTAAGTCACTGATGTTACCCACACTTCAGAACTATTACTGCTGATGGTGGAGAGGAGGGTGGGATTGTACAGAGAAAGAGAATCCCGTATTCCCTTTTGAAAATGGGTGAAAACAGAAAATATATGTGTTAATTCTGGAAAGCCGATTTTCATACAAGAATTTATATTATCATTGCTCTAAAATATTGAATTGATTTATAAATTTTTTAAAAAACTTGGATCAAATGCACTACCATGGAGTTGATTCCAACTCATTGCAATCCTATAAGACAGGGTAGAACTGTCTGTGAATCTTCGAAGCTAACTGTTCAGGAGAGTAGAAAGCTCTGTCTTTCTCCCTCTCGGCAGCTGGTGGTTTTGAACTACTGACCTTGCGTTTACCCACCCAACACCTAACAACTATGTCACCAGGGCTTCCTTGACAAATACCATTATCTACTAAAAGGAACCAGGAATTCTTAGTAAAATGGTTGATCGTTGGGCTGAGTGGGAAAAGTACAAGATAAGCCTGCAACAGCTTGTGCTAAAAAGTAAGGATGTATTGAAAAATGATGGAAACTATCTTAGACTCAGTTCTCTAGAGGAGCAAAACAGTGAAATGTGTGTGTGTGTGTGTAGAGAGCGGGGGAGGAAGGAGGGAGAGAGGGAGAGAGAGAGAGAGGGAGGGAAAGATAGAAGAGTGTGTGTGTGTGTGTGTGTGTGGTGTGTGTGTTAATAGCTCATGTAGTTATGGAAACTAACAAGTCCCAAATCCATGAATCAGCATCAGGGTGGAGGCTGTCTACTCACGAGGGCTGATGAACTCACAATGCTCAGCCAACCGCTGACTCATATCCCAAGAACTGGAGGTCAAAGGATGATAAAGTAGATGCAGGATAGAGAAAACTTAGCCAGATTATCAATATATACTGAATGTAGGCCACACTCTCAGTGACATTGCCCTTTCAATTGATTAGCTGCTCACATCGGGTCACAAAATGAAGAATGATTACATAATGTCCACCAAAACCATCTAGAGCAGTGGTTCTCAACCTTCCTTATGCCACGACCCTTTCATACAGTTCCTCATGTTGTGGTAACCGCCCCCCAACCTTAAAATTATTTTCGTTGCTACTTCATAACTGTCATTTTGCTACTGTTATGAGTTGGGCGACCCCTGTGAAGGGTCATTTGACCCCCCCAAAGGGGTTGCGACCCACAGGTTGAGAACCGCTGAATCAACGACCTAGCCATTGACACATAACCGTAATCATTACAGGAATGTATCAAAAGGACAGGATAGCCAGCTTGAAGGGCTTCCATTGACCAAATGTGGGTCAATAAATGGCAGTAACGAATTACAACCCATTGAATAAAATAAGAATCCATGTGTTCATGCTGACATAAACAAAAACATGAATGAATTAATGAGTATATGGGGAGGAAGAACAGCCCCTTTGTTACAGTAGAATGTCAACTAAGAAAGGTAGCAAGAAAGATGGAGTTTTAAAAATGATCATTTTGCAACCATCAACATAATAAGTAATTCAGGCAAGAATCAACAGCAGGTGTCAAGCTATTGAGTGAAAATTTGAAGAAGAACAGGATACTTACATAGCCTCTAAATAGCTCCCTAGAAATTACTTATTAATTATAAAAGAAGAAAAAAGTAACTAACTCTTCAGTGGAGAAATCTGGCAGACAACACCAAAATCAAGTGATCAAAGCTATCATCACCAATAATGACACAAATTGGCATCATGTATCTTCTGATGTGAAATTACCATCACTTCTGTGGAATTCGTGTCAAAATTGCAAAGGCTGAATCTAATCAGGAGGAAATATTAGAGAAACCCAAGCTGAGGGACATTCTACTCATAACATGACTGTACAATAGAAATGTCTAGTCTGAAGAGGCATGATAACTACATGCAAGGTGTGATCTTAAACTGGATCCTGGAATAGGGGATAAAAAGAAATGAATTGGATAAATGGCTAAATTTGAATATGGGCTATAGGTTAGATGATATTGTGTCAATGTTAAACTTCCTGATTGTGATAACTGTACTGTGGTTATGCATGATACAAAAGGTGCCCTTATTCTTAATAAATCCACACTGGAATACTATCAAAGCATCAGACACAGGTAAGTTGTATACATATGTGTGTGTTTGAAGAACGGATAGAAGGAGGGAAAGAGAGCTCTAGAGAAGATAACAATGCATATGGAAAAATGTTAATGGTTGGATATCGGTATATGGGAGTTCTTTGCCCGATGCTTAAAACGTAATCTAAATTAAGTCTAAAATTATATCTACATAAAAGGACAAAGAAAATAATATTTGCTCTACATTAAAAAGTAACTTTTAAAATTGTGGCAACCTTGGGGCCCTCTTAGGAAAACAGAGTCTTGTCTAGGAGAGAGTCCTTTGGTGCAACCAGCAGAGCGGAAAAAAATTCACAAGTTACTCACAGCAGCGCAGTGTCTTATCAACAGTCGGAATCATATTGTTGACGAGCCAAGCATCTTCTTTCCAACTAACTACATTTCCATCTAAACACTTCATAAATTCTTCATTTTCCAGAATGTGGTCCCAAAGTTGAAAGTAGCATAAGCTGCCGGTGAAGCTAGGCACCACACTTGTAGCATGGCCGTTCCTGTTTGCAGGCAAGTGCCCGAGGACTAAAGTCCCATTAGCTGTCAGGTTTTGTGGTTGATCCATCATTACCAGTAGCCTTTCTTTATTGAGAAAGAGCTCTAGCATACCCTTCACACCGTCCCATATCAAGCACACGGTATGCCATTGAAATGGAGTCAGGTGGTAACGGACAGAAAAGATCTTGCCCAAGTTGTAGAGTATTATTTGCTGGTGGTCTCCTGCAAGTCCAAGGTCTATGTCTTCTCTGCCCAACAAGGTGTTATTAGTCATGTAGGAGAAGGCTATCCAATTACTCGAGTTGTCACTCCTGGATATCAAGTCAATGCACACCGTGAATCGACTGAGTTCAGGGATCGTGTCATTCAGGCTTACATATGTGTCGCCTCTTCCATAAAAATCCAGCTTTTTTCCTTTCAGTGAAAGTGCATCTGTCCAAGTTTGGGGAAAGAGAAAAAAAAGGTAAGTGGAATTTTTGTTTTAAGAATGTTATCATCTCCTTGGCTATATAGTCAAATATAGCTTATACAAAACTATTGCGAGTCAATACCAGTGCAAATAAGGCAGAAGAGTAGATACACAGAAAGCATCTCTAGTTGACATTGGCATATGTTTTTGGGGGTTTTTTTGCAAAAGAATATCTTCCTTAATTTTGAGAATGATGAGGGCAACAAATGTATAAGTGTGCTTTACACAATTGATGTATGTATGGATGGTGACGAATCGTATGCACCCCAATAAAAATATTTTTTTTAAAAGAAATAAAACACAATTCATCTGGAAAAAAATTAATATTTTCCTTGTTTTATTTTGCTTGGACTAATATAAAAAGTTGAACTGGTGTTTCTGAGCACACACCAGCGGGAAAGTTTGGATTTAACATTTGCTGCACATCATCCTCACTCATATAATCAAAAGATAACTACTTTCATCCACCTAACTGCCTTTTTATATTCATGGTATGACAGCATTTTATTTCTCCGGTGCCTTTTCCTGCTCTACATGATCTGATGTCGCCTCTGTAGAGAATCCTTCTCACCGACAGGCATTGACAGAGGGCTGAAGGATGATCAATTGGATATGTAGTTGGACGCAGGAATAGGAGTGCTGTCACAGCCCTGAGTGTATTCTGACTTATCTTCTTCCATGTCCTTCCTATGGAGTTATGGTGGCTTTCAGGGGCTCTCTGTGCCTGTGGATTCAGAGTCAATGAATCCACAATCAATGCCCATGGAAGCAGCAGTCAAGAGATCAAACGACCCATTGCATTGGGTAAATCTGCTGCACAAGACCTCTTTTAAAGTATTGAAGAGCAAAGATGTCACTGGGAGGACTAAGGTGTTCCTGACCCGAGCTATGGTATTTTCTGTCGCCTCAGGTACCTGTACATTGAAAAAGAAAGGCAAAAGGTGAATTGATGCATTTGAATTAAGGTGCTGGTCAAAGCCATTGAAAGTACCATAAACTGCCAAAAAAAAAGATGCTCCTTAGAGGCAAGGACAATGAGACTTAGTTCCATACATTTTATTTTACTTTGTAAATAGTTTTATTGGGACATAATCTATATAGCATATAATTCAATAGCTCAATCATATCAAGAAGTGTTGTATAATCATTACCACAATCAATTTTAGAACATTTTCTTCTTTTTTTCTACTCCTTGTTATTAGCTCCCAATTTCCCCATAACTCCCCCTGACCTAGTCATGCCCTCAAGAAACGATTAACCCAGTTACGGTCTCTATAGATCCACCCATTCTGGATTTCATATACACAAAAACAAAGGGGAAAAAAGCCTGCACCAATAACAAAATAAAATAAAGATCTCAATCAAAAAGAATCCAGAAAATATTAAAAATGAGAACAACTTTAAAATGGGTCAAAGGGGTGATCAAATGATAAAGTATAAAATTTGAACCTAACTGTAGCTACCATAATCTACTTTCCAATGCACTCTGCATGATAGCAAGGCTCTTCACGTCCCTGGTGGTCTATGTTTAAAGGGAATTCACCAGAGGCGTAAGCCATGGCTCTCATATATTTTAAACATGTTGTCAGGAGAGACCAGTCTCCAGAGAAGGATACTATGCTTGGCAAAGTAGAGCAGCAGCAAAAAAAAAAAAAAGGAAGGTCTTGACAAGATGGCTGTAACAATGGGCTCAAACATAAGAACAATTGTGAGGATGGCGCAGGACCCGGCACCAGGTACACAGGGTCACTATGAGTCGGAGCCAAGTTGACAGCACCTAACAGCAATCACGGCCATGGACTCAGTTAACGTTGGCTTGGTCGTCAGTCTGAGCTGGAATCCCAACTCTCACACTCCTCAGTTGAACGACTTTGGAAGCAAGTTATTTAAACCCCCCAATCCCTCAGTGTCTGCTCCAGTAAAATGAGGCTTGAGAAGTATGGCGTTGTCAAAAACTCCAATTATAGAGGAATGAATCAGCAAGCCCTGGTAGATTCATACAATGAAGCATTATGCTTCAATACAAAAAAAACAATGACTCTTGCGAATGCCCCGAAAGACATGGGCAAAACTGGAAAACATTATCCTTAACCAAACTTAGTCAATCTTATAGAGATATTTAACGACGCCATTACTGTAAGGAAAAAGAAAAGAAAAAGAAAAGTAGTTTTCACACCAAGAGAGAAGACTTTGAAGACTATGAGGAGGTCGGGGCCAGTGACAGGGGCAGGGATAGGGAAGGATAGTAAGTTATAGAGGGTGGGAGAAAGGACAGGAAGGAAAAATATTTTCAAAGAACCACATTTGTGGGGTTGATTTAGCGGGATATTATTTCTGGTTTCCTTTGCTGAGATGGGCTGCGCCAAAAGAAGAATTCTTTCCTTAAAAATAATAGCAAGAGTGAAGGCTCACAGCCTTAAACATTCCAGATTCCTTGCCCCACGGATATCAATAATGGTCTGAGTGCCTCAAAGGGGGAAAGTCAAACCGAGGTCGACTTGGAGTCTGTAATGACATCCAAGTTCATTTGAAACATATGAAAAAAGAAGAAGTATGATCTTGTATTACCATTTTGCAGGTTGTGTTCAACACACTGTTCAAAAGTTAAAACGAAACAAAACAAAAAACCTCAAGCGGGCAGCCATCGAGCCTCTAGGCCAGGGCAGAACTGCCCCTGTGGGTTGCTCTGTGCTGGGACCAGAACTAGGTTGACATAGGCTCTCAGGCATTTGTCTAGTGGCCTAGGGGGTGAGGTTTTTAGATTTGTAGCAGTGATAGTATCGTCAATCATTGATAGCTTCCTATGAGGCAAGGGCATATGCAGTTTAAATTTTCATCATTAGTGCCAAATTGCCCAGCAAAAGACTGGTCCCAGCACAGGCCAAGCTAAATCAACAAGGGCTTTATGGCAGAAAGGAATTCTAACTGTTCCCTGAATGAGGGTTTCACAGTGACAGCCTTAGTAGCACATTTGAGAGGCTGGCAGGAAGTAACCGTTCCCCTGGCTTCTAGGAGATGCCCTGATGGAAGCTCCCAGATATCCTTTGGCTCCACCTTACAGTCCTCCTCCATTCTTCCATGAAACACTCCATCAAACAAGTGTATGCCTACTCACACATGTACTTATGCACACATGCTCACATACATACTCATCTACACGTGCACACTCACATACTCAAGTACGAGAACTCATACCATCCACCTACCAAGAAACTATCTCTGGCCTGTCCATGGTAGGTAAGCAAATGTTTATTTCTGTCCCTGGCTTATCTGATTATATTACCTTATCATCTTTCATATGGCTAATAAATCAAGAATTAATCCCCAAACGATAATAATCACTGTGAAACACAAGCCTCAATTATGGTTTTGGTTAACAATGTTTTTCTTTTTAGCCCTCCCTCCACAATGACATCAACTGCAATATTTAAGAACTGGTTTTATGGTGAACATAAATCTTCGGGACTTGGTTGTTTCTCAAAAGAGAATGAATTGTAATAGCATACGGGTAGCAAGAGCCTCACCTCTGTGTGATATACTAGCATAACATTAATTGTCAAAGGACATGAATGACAATTTTCAAAATAAAAAATATGAGTCAGTAATATCAAATATGGCCCCTCATTATTTTTAAAGTGCAAACTAAAACAAAAATGAGATATTAGTTTCACCTATTGGATAGATAATTGTTTAGAAGATTAAGAATGTCCAGTCTGACCAGTTTATGGGGAAATCAGTTACTTCTATACACTCTGGTGGAAAAGACAATATTGGTACCGTCTTTGTTGAGGGGCGGTAGTGGTGGTAGAGGACAGTTTGTGAATACCTTGACATTTTAAATTCCGTATAGTTGTCTGTATACTTTTGATCCAGAAATTCCATTTCTATCAACGTATTCTAAAGAGCTATACATGCATACTAAGATGCAAGAACAAGGATATTTAATATTCCTATGGTATTGTTTATAGTTGAGAAAAATAGAAACACCTGTATGTCTCTCAGTAAGTAGCGTAAAGAAAACAAAGCCCACTGCGATCAAGTCGATTTTAACTTTACTGACCCTCTAGAGGCCAGAGTAGAACTGCTCCACAGGGTTTCTAGGGTTGTAAATCCTTATGGGGGCAGACTGCCTCATTTGTCTCCCACAGAGTAAATAGTGCGTTTGAACTCTTGACCTTGAGATGACCAGCCCAGCACACAACACACCATGACACCTGGCCTCCAAGAGGCGATTGGTTAAGCAAATGGTTACCTCTATTAGTTGGAATATAAAAGTAAACAAGGTACATATATGTAGTCATGGAAAGATTTCCAATACTAAATTTTCAAATTTCCAAACTAAATTTCCAAAATTAAAAATATGAAATGGAAGTTACCTAAGTGTAGGTATAGTGTTATCCTATAAAAAGATATGAGGATGAAGTGCATGTTAACACGTGCATAGAAAAAATATGAGAATATACAACAAACAGTTAAAAGTTATAATTTTTAGGGCATGAGATTTAGGGCATTTTTACATAGATGGAACTGCATTCAGTAATTTGCCTTTGTAAGTAAGTATATATTACATTTTATAATTAGAGAAAAGTAAAGATAGAGCGGTAGCTGGGTAGATAGTTAGATATCTTTTTAAGGTGCCATCAAGTCAGTTCTTACTCACGGCAACCCCATGTGTATCAGATTAGAAGTGAGCTACCTAGTTTCTAATGACTGATGTGGCAGTTACAGAATCTCTTGTCAGCTTGAGCGAAGGGGTGGAGTCTAACCTGTCAATCAGGCCACAGTTTGATGACCTCATTTGGAGATGCGATGGCGATAAATAGCTCACTGAAGGCCAGACCCACTCTTTCTCTCTGCCTTTCCTTTCCTGCTGTTGAGACACTCAGAGAGCTAGAGGAGACACGTGGAGACCCGTGCCAGCGTTGAGATGCTTCCACTACCACAGGATCCACAAGACCTTCTATCATCCTGCATTGAGCATCATTGCATGTGTTGCGTGAGTCTAAATAGGAATTCATGGACTAATATCAGTTTTTTGGGCTAATATCAGACTTACAGACTTGATCTGGACTGGATTGGGATGTTTTCTCAATATACAATTGCTCTTTTATATAAAGCTCTTTTTCTTAGACACATATGAGTGTCTATGAATATTTTTCTCTGGCCAACCCAGACTAACACAGCTGATTTTTCAGAAGCAGATCTCTAGGCTTTTCTTCTGGGTAGACTTGAACTTCCATAGACAGAACCACTTGTAGCCTTACTTGAGATTCTGCAGATGAACGCCAATTCCTCTTACAAATGAGCAGAAGACATGGTGTAGTCGAGTTGAAAAAGCTGAATCTGAGTCCAAGTTCTGTCCCTTACTAGCTGTGAGAATGTGTGAAATTAATGCATGTAAAAGTTCTTAGAACAATTTTGGCACACACAGAGCACTAGTTAAGTGTTACATACATAAACTCTCACTTTTCTGTGCTTCCTTCATTAGTGGTGCATGAGAATGAGAATGACCTACCTCACAGGGCCACTATAAAAGATGATACAATAACAAGTGATATTTATGCTGCTGCTGTTCTTGTGGTTAGAGGCCCCTGACTCAAGGCATTACATAACATACATTACAGAGCTGATCCATAATATTTTCTTGGCTACAAAATTTGTGGAAGCAGGCCACAGAGCTGCTGGGTGGGATTGAAATATCAAGTTTTAGGCTAGCAGCCGATAACAAACCACCGAGGCTCCTAATGTTTAGGTTACGTGTAAGGCAATGTTTATAAGCTGGGAAGCCTCCTGTAAACGTCACCTGTGATGTTTGCTAATGTTGTTGCTAGAAGCCTCTTTCCTGCCTCACACATGTATGTGCATCTGTGCCAAGCCCCGCTGCCATCTCTGAGGAGGCTGGATGTGACAGGAAGGAGAGAGGCCTTGCTCTTCTGCTTGGCTAGGCAAGTAGCGTTCTCTGCTGGGCCTCCCGAGGGCTTGTTTCAAAGGCCACTTGTGTCTTTGCATATGATTTTGCTATCCATTGCAGATGTCTGCTTGGGCACTGCCATCTGTTCCTTGGCAACTTTCAAGTCCAAATTGCATGATTGCTCCCCTGAAGCATACTCTCGCTTGATATGGCTCCTCTGTGTCTCTTCGCCGCTCTCCACTGTTTCCTTTTATTTTAAATTACATTTATTATTGTCCTCCCCACTTAAAAAAGATGCATGTGGGGTTTTTTGAATTTTATTCTTCATCCAAAAATACGCCACACACTTTCTGAAGAAAAAGTGGAAAGCATTAGAAAGTAAAAGGCCTCGTGAGTGTCCTACCGTCTAAGACAAGGAACTACCCTGGACTTAGTGATATATGTCCTCTGGCTGCTTGCTTGTTTGTCCGCCCCCTCCCTTTCTGAGCAAACATTTTCCTTGTTTCCCTGTGGCTGAGATCAGATTGTGTGTACAATCTGGTACCTTGTTTTTCGCGCTTAACATTCTAACATAAGCTCTTTACACATTAGGAAGAACTCATCATGCACTTGATTTAAGTAACTTCCCAGAAGCTCTTCGCTATGTCTTGTCACTCTCTGGCAGACAGATACAGCAAGCGATGGGGCATCAGATATTTTTCTGGCAGTGCCCGGGGAGAATAAAACCTCTGCCATCCTGGTTACTCGAGAAGTACAGTTGTTGGCCTTCATCGAATTCCAAAGCTGCTGGCACCAGCCTGTGTGTTTTCCTGGTGATGCCATGGTTAAGCAATTTTTAAAGCAGAAATGAAGCCATTGGTCATCAAACAATGTCAGTTTCCCTCCAGAAGGCTCCAACGTTTTATATTATAACCTCAGAAATATCGTGTTTGCATGCAAATCACAGTAATACACTTAATATTGAAATAAAGCAAGTCACACAAATGTTGTGGCTTCCCAGTGCATATGGAAGGTATGCTTATCCTATATTCTAGTGGAGAAAGGAGCCCTGCCTGGAGGTGTAGTGGTTACGCCATCAGCATTTGAAACCACCAGTGGCTCGTTGGGAGAAAGAGTGGGGCTTTCGACTCTTGCAGAATTACAACCCCGGAACCTCAAGGGAGCAGTTCTACCCTGCCCTCTAGGGTCACTGTGAGTTGGCATGGATGCAATGGCTGGGAGTTTGGTTTGGTTTTTATAGTATTTAAAGCATGGAATAGCATTACTGAAAAAATTCAGGTATTGTGAGAAAGACCAAGAGGTGACAGAGAGACATGAAGTGAGAGCATGCTGTTGGAAGAATAATGCCCATTGGTAGACGTGCTTGACCTAGGGTTGTCATAAATTTTCTATTTGAAAAATAAAACGCAGTAGCTGTGCAGCACACTAATGTGTATCACAATAAGATGAGGGGCATTGCATAAGATTTTCGCCTATGATTTTTCAGGATAATTAAATAACCAGAGTCTTGTCCCCTGCTGCCGATTTCCAGTGCCTACCACAATGATCAAGACGCCCTGGTGGCTTTGTCAGGTAAGCATGGGACTCCTACCTGCTAGGCTGGCGATTTAAATCCACCAGCCACTGAGAGAGAGAGGAAGTGGAGCTCTCCTACTCCTGTTATGATTTACGGCCTCAGAGATGCTATCTGGCGTTGCTATGAATTGGAATCAGCTTGACGGCAGTTGGTTGGGTTGGGTTTTGCTGTAACATAATGATCAGTACATACTGTGTCCTTTTTCGGCTATTTATTGAATGACTCGATGAATGCTCATACCCTGTATTAGGGAATTGAGGTAGAGAATGGTGGAAGGGCTGTGGAAGGCTATCCCTTGTGCAAAGATACCAGGGGTGGGAGGGAAGCATCTTACATAGAATGACAAGCTTCGAACTGCAAACTAAGCTTGTACCTTGTTTTGCTTCAGGTAACTTTAGCAAAAGATCAAAGAATGTCCCCTCGTTATCACACTCCAGAAGGAACGCTTGTGGCAGAGTGGTTGTGCGTTGGGCTACTAAGCACCAGGTCCACAGTTTGAAACTGCCAGTGGCACTACGGGAGAAAGATGGGGCTTTCTACTGTACCCATAAAGAGTGACCGTCTTGGAAATCCAGAGCGGCAGTTCTACTCTGTTCTATAGGATCGCTGTGAGTCATCATCAACTCAATGGCAAGGAGTATGGGTTTGGGGTTGTTTTTGTTTGTTTGTTTTGAGAGCAAGTGTCCATCCCCAAATTCCCCACTATTCTCCTAGTGTTAGCGGTCAAAATGCACTTGCACAATCAATGGGGGAAATGGCTTACCGAAACTTGATTCGATGGCTGTGGGGTTTTTGTTTTGTTTTTGGATCA